CCCCAAAACCCCAAAACCCCAAAACCCCGAGCCAGCTTGGCTGTGTTGAAACTTTGAAAATGGGTTTACCAATTAGAGAGATTATAGCCTGTGATGCCCACTAGCAATGTTAGGGAGACTAGGATTAGGAACATGTCGAGAGCTTTGGAGAATGTAGTCTCTGCAATTAGTTTTAGGTGCATCATTGCGGGAAGAGTGAATGCGACTGGAGTGCAAGTGAGAGAACCTACGATAGAGAGTAATTTATCAAGTCCTGATTCAAAGGTTCAAGCGATTGTGATGATTCCAAGGACAAGCAAGGTTCTAGAAATATTCCTACTCCAAGGTTTATCATTTACGTTGTCTGATTTTCATATGTAGCTTTCGATGATCATGTTTGGTGGGTAAACAGCCACAGGAAATGTAACAGTCAAACAAATCATAAATGAAACTTTGATAAATAGAAGAGTATAACTATCATCTGGCAAGACTTGAGTAATTAGCTTTGTGTGAGACAATACCTCATCTCCATATATCAAATAATTCACAGTGCCAAACACTCATACAAGCAAGAATACGAAGAAAAGCACAATACATAGGATTTTGGGTAAATTATTTTTGTTTTGAGAAGCATTCTTCATGGGAAGTACAAGCCCGGTCCCTTCAAACATATAAACAGCTGTTCCAATGAATACCAAGTAATTATCTTGGTTAAAAGGTCTGACATCTCCTGCAAAACCTTCTTCACGATAATAGATCAATCCAAAGACCATGATAGCACCAAGCACTATTATTGTGAGGAAATCTGCAAAAATATGCCATCTGATGAACCATTCAATTCTCTTGACCCATGTCAATGGAGTAAAGATCAAGAAAATAACAGCACATATAACCCATTTGTCAAGAGAAACTTCAAAGAATTTGACTAAAATCAAATTGACATTATCCCAAATATACACAAAGTAAGGGAACGTAAAGCCAATCTGAGATGCAAAGATTGCTAAGTCGCATAGGAATTTTCCAGGAGCTCCAAAAGCTAGGTATCCTAACTCAGAGTAACTCCCTGGGTACTTTTCAGAGATCTTCAAGAGTAGCAACGAGCATCCCATTGTAAACAAAAGGCTGAGCAAAAGACAAAGGTTTGAGAACACCCAGCCTCCGTTAAAGTATCCATTTGGAACCACTAGGATGCCAATCACCAGATAAGCCCTGATCAAAGAAAAGAAAGTCTGTATATCTGATAACTTCCCAATATCATTCAGGACTAACTCTTCATTCTCATCGTAAACTATACAAAGAATAACATAAAAACTAAGCGACCATCAAATAAACTAAGCTTTTGTCTGCATAAATCGAGAGGTTTTGACTATTCCAGTCATACCAATATGCCTAAAGCCAGATTCCCAAAAATTTCAAACCCTTCATTGGTTTATGAAGAACATTTCATAAAATTTAAAATATCTTCTTACCTTTTGTAGCATCAAGTGCCTTTGATTCTATATTAAAAGTTAACTGTGCTAGAATGGAGCAACATCTGTAGAATGCAAGCACTGAAGAGCAATGCCTAGACTCTTCTGAGCTGGCAAGGTGTATATTTGAAATAATTCACAAGGATTTGCAAGAAAGACACTCTAATACCAAAGGCTCAGGAGTAATTTACATCAAAAATATGGAAAATCACGCAAGCAGAATTTGAGAAATATTGAATAAAATTGAAATATTGGCATCATATTTGGGAAAGTCAATATTTAGAGTGATTTCAGTCGAAATGATATTTATGTTAAACCTAAAAGAATTAAAATATCTGCCAGAAAGCCTCCATTATTTGAATTCATTGTTTCAAATTGCTGTTTGGAGAAATCATAGCTTTGAAAGAAATATCAAATGTAAAGAGACCCAAGCAACTTTTAAATATCTGAGGGAAACAGTTGCATCCAGCTTGAGTTTGCTTCTCTCTTTATTAAAACTCATCAAAAAGATCCTACCATTCTTCTGAAGTTTCCTCCTAGACGAAGTATGAGTTGTTGACATTTATTATTCAATTCTTTAATACATTATCGGGGTTTTGGGGTTTTGGGGTTTTGGGGTTTTGGGG